TATATTCCACAGAAGCATCGTGCACGATTCAATCAACAACAGTCACGCGCAAGAAAATGTAAGGAAAATTCAGCCACAAAAAATTGTAAGGAAGTTTAAGCGTTGGTAGAGCGAGCACAGGCGATCGCGACATGCAACCAAGCAATGCAGCCGCAGCCCGCAGGCGCAGGGCAACGGGGGAAAAGAGAGAATGGAACCGAAGCATCGAACGTGCAGTAACAGGGAAGCGGTGAAAAAAGAAAAGTAATAATACAGCGATGAGAAAATGAAGAGGCGTGGCGTGGGGATCTCACCACCCAGAGCGGGGGGCACGGGCACGCGGCGCGTGACGGCGAGCCAGACCCATCCGTACCCGACGAGGTTCTGCGCGGCGCCGACGAGGAGCGCGGCCCAGAAAGCGGGAGCACGGCGCAGAGCGTGCCGGCGAGGAAGCCGACGCTGTCGCCGAGGTCCTTGGCGACGCCGAGCCCGGCCACCTGGCGCTGGTTGTAGCCGAGCGAGGCCTTGATCACCGGCGAGAGGCTGCCGAAGAGGTAGCCGACGCCCGCGCAGGACTGCATCCACATCGCCGCCACGAACACCAGCCACCGGTTCCGCAGGAACCCGCGCACCAACTGCCCACCTCCGCCATTGCGCTTCCTGGCTCCGGACTCGAGCTCCAACCCCCGACGCCGCGATACCCCGAGCGCGCGGCCGATTCAGAACGGACAAGGCGGCGGGCCGGGTGTCCGCGGCGGCGCGACGGACGGGCGGACGGGGTTGGGATCTTCTGGGCCAGGGACGGGCGCGGCGCCCGGATCGTTGTGAGGCACGGCAGGCTCCGGCACGGCAGCGGTTGCCGTGGCTTTCTGTGGGTTGCCGAATGAATGCCGATAAGCGTGCGTGGGTGTCCCAGCCCTGCCCTGCCCTGCCCCAGTGTCGCGGATACAAAAATGACGGACGGAAACGGGACCGGCCGAAATTCGTGGGATTGGAGCTCGTTTCCGCTTTCGCTGTCGCAGTTTGGGCGGTCGGGTCGGGATCGGGCGGCTAGGGTGGGCGGCGGGTAGGCCCCTTCTGGGGAGCGATGACGACTCGGCTAGACCGCCGCAAGAGGAGGAGGCAAAGGCCAAAGGCAGGCGAGAGGCCATAAACACGATCATGAATTATTTATTGTTAGCTAATTTAGCTGGTTTGGTACGAAAAAAAATACTATTTTAAAAAAATACTATTTCAGATTATAATCTAGAATCATATACGATCGTTTACGATCGGCCCACGGGCGTTGACAGGGAAAGCCAAGCCTTTTCCTCCGGTGCGCAGTGCGCGCTTCACGCACGCCTTTACTTGATGGCACGGGCCAAGCCCCAGTGCGCAGTATGGAGTAGCAGCTAGCGAGCGACCGGGCTTTTGCTGCGAATGCCGCCTGCCGGTGGGTAACCGACTGAACTGAACGTGCCGTCTGCCGATGCGCCGAGACGTACGTGTTGCCCGCCGGGGAGAAGACACCAAGCGGATGCGTTTCATGTCAGTTGCCGGCTTTTGGCGCTTGAACGACGGTGAGCTTAGGGGAAAGTTCCAACGCCGGTCTCAGTCGGTAGTCCACTTGACGCCGGAGAATGGCTGTTTGTGCCGTCTGCGTCTTCTGGGGCGTGTCCGTCGTTAACAACGACACCAAAAATACAAAACATATTCAACGTTTGGGTAGTGCTACAGTCAAATGGTTCAATACCTATTCAACATCATCTCCAACAACATGACTCAAAAGAGAATCCTTTCTGCAAATAAGTTTTCAGGAGAGAAGATACTCATGTTTAGGTTGTGCCTCTCAGACAGTCCAAAATAAGTCTTCCGTACAAATACTCTGTTTGAGACTGATCTTAGATCGACCCTTTAGACAGTCTTACCTGCCGTGCATGCCTGGGTGTCATTTTCCCAGCCGTCTCGTTGGTGGGCCGTGGGCCGATGATATACACAACTGGTAATCTATATTTTATTTCTGCGTAATAAATTAGTACTCCGTCGGTGTTGAGATGGTATGCTACACGTCAGCCGTGTCTATTCAGCGCTTGCCATTTTAGCTAATGTGTGAGCCGGACAAAATATAGAACGAAGGTAGCTAGCGATTTTGGATGGATGCCTGGCTAGCGTCATCTACCTCTAGTCTCTGCATTCCGTTCCAACGAACCACCGTTCTAAATCCAAAGGAGCAGAGCTAGCAATGGGTGTGGACATGGGCAAAAACTCACCCGCGGATAATTGAGAGTCAAGTATCCGCAAAGATATGTGCATCAAATTTTACCCACAGGTCTCGATGAGCATCTACAATTTTGAGAATAAATATAAATATCTTTAACATGTGTTATATATAAGGCTGGACGAAAAACTCAAAGCTTGTTCGGCTCGTGGCTGGCTCGACTCGGCTCGGCTAGCTCGTTAGCTATAACGAGCTAGCTCGCGAGCCGCTCGCGAGCTAAACGAGCCAAGCCTCCAGGAAAAAAAGTATCAAAACTTATATTAGTTTTTGTATTACTTCATGTTTGCACTTTACAATTGACTGGTAACTGGTCTAGACCCTATAAATTGACTGGTAACTGGTCTAGATGCATTTCTTTTATATTATTATTATTCTCAAACTTTAGATAAATGCAAATATTATATTTTGTGTATTTTTTATACATGGCTCACGAGCTTAATGAGCCAGCTCGAGCTTTTAACGAGCCAAGCCGAGCTGGCTTTCTGACTCGTTAGGATAACGAGCCAGAACGAGCCGAGCCAAGCCAGCTCGTTATCCCGCCTTAGTTATATGCGTCGACTCACCCATTTAATATGGAACTTATAGCTTATGCCCATCCACTTGCATTGGTACGTGGTAATGGAACTCGCTGCAACCAATTTTCTTGTTGATAATAACAAGTGATAAAAAAAAAGTGGACTTGCGCATCTGGCCATGGGCATGATGCAGAAGGATCATGTTCACAGATGCAGGTGCTCGCTTTGTGAAGTTCCCTTTCCCTTTATAGAAAGACTAGAACGATACTTGCGATGGAGGAGGCGACTCGTGCGAAGGGGGAGCTAGTATAGCTTTGCGTTAAACTCTGTAGCTGAGATGTAGGCTAATCGTTGTAGGCATTGCTTCTTGGTTAACTACATTGTTCGTTATAGTTTTAGGAACTCAGATTATATAAAATATGGAGTTTACTAGAGGCAGTGTGCGCGAGCGGATAGGAATCCGCCCGCATGCCTCTCCCCACCCCTGCTATTCCTCTTCCCTGCAGTCCTGTCTCCGTGACGCCTCCACCCCGTCTCTTCTCTCTCCTCTGCTTGCGCCTCCCTTGCCGCCACCAAGCGCTGAGTGCCCCCAAGATCCAGATCCGCAAGCCCGGCCTCCATCACCTCCCACCGCCCCTCCCGGCTGGCGGTAGGGTCTCACTGGAGAGACCCTACCGCCGGCGGTGACCTCCTCGTTCCCCTCCCCCCTCCCTCTCGCCCCCCTCCCGCATGCTGCCATGGCGGCCCCGCCCTGACCTGACCCGGCCGCCCCGACCGCCGCCAGCTCCCCTAAACCGTCCGTCGACCATCCCCACCGCCTGACCTATCTTCCTCCTCCGGCCGGCCATTCTATAACCCGCCGGACTTAGGGAAGAGGGTGGGGCGCGGCTCGCCGGAACCCTAGCGCCGCCGTCTTCTTCGCCGGAGCCGACACAGGCGCGGCCGGGCACGGGCGAGTGGGGCACGGGCATGTGGTGGGGTGTTGGTGGTGCCTTATCTGGCAGCGGTGTCGAGCTCAGCCCCAGCGCGTGTCTTCTCCGGCCTCGGCGTCGAGCGCATCGGACGGCCACGCGGGCTGGTGCGTCTTCTTCCCCACGCGGGTGTGCACGCCGAGCCTCTGGATCGCGCAGAGTTAAGCATTTCCGATAAAATATATAATACCAATCACATGTATTGGCCACAAATTCGGTTATATGCAAGGTGTCCAAGCAAATACCATAAATCAACATGACAACCTGAGAAGGCGGCACTAAGTATTAAACTTCTTTGACAGGACATGCCATATGTTTTTACTACAACTATACAGTAGTAACTTACGCACAATTTTATAGAACGGAAAAGTTACTTCATGACCCATCGCGCTCCACGCGGACGGTGCGACCCTCTCCCTCTCCCACGCGGACGCGCCCGAGAGGACGACAAGGTGGTCGGCGGCGGACGCGTCCCGTCGAGCTCCTCCCCGCACCCGCACCCCCACCCGTGCCGGCGAGCTCCTCTCTCTCCCCCCTCCGGCGACGGCAGCGCCAACGAGGTAGGCCTCCTCCTCCTCCTGTAACAATCGGAGAAGAAGACGACGGCGACAGTGGCTAGGGTTCCGGCGAGCTTCTCTCCCTCTTTCTTCTCTAATTATGGCGGGCTATAGAAGGGGCCGGCCGAGGGAAGGCAGGCCGGCTAGACGCCGGCCAGACGGTGGGGAAGGATGCCGGGCGATTTAGGGGGCCTGGCGGTAGTAGCGGCGGCCAGGCCAAGTCAGGGCGGGGCCACCATGGCCGGAGCTCAGCGTCGCCGGCGAGCATGGCCATGTTGGAGCTCCGGCGAGAGGGCGGGCGCTAGGGTTGCCATATACGGTTACAAGTACCAAGGATCAACTGCAAGCATAAATAAAAATGAGATTATACAGCCCGTAGGTCCACCTAACCAGGAAAATATTGCATCACTGAGGATATTAACAAATCAATCAACTTATATTTCCTTTCCCCAATGATGCAAGTTCAACGCTCATTTCATCCACCAAAGTTCAGCTGTCACATTTCACCTAAATAGACTAAGCTACTGCAGATAATACCAAGATAATCTAGATATAACAAACGACACTTCTACAGACATGTCTACTCCGGAGACGGAGGTTCAGGAAGCAGCCACGGCGCCACAGCAACCAGCAGGTACCACTAACCTGAACTGCCTTCTTGGAGGCAGCGCTCCCTTGAAGCTGCTGCGCTCTGGCACATGCAACTTGCTGAAGGTAGCTTTCACCTGAACTTTGGCTTCTTGGAGGGCGGCGCTCCCTTGAAGCTGCTGCGATCTGGTGCACGCGACTTGCTGAAGGTCTTCGCGTTGCGGCGCCTCCTCTCCTCCTCGCTGTCCAACTCTGCACTGTTCTCATGGTCCGCGTTGCTTGCCTCGCGTTCCAGTTCCTCCCAGGTCTTGCCCTTCTCCACCTCTGAGTCCTCAACTGACTCATCATCATCATCATCGTCAGATTCCACTAAGGACTCGCTGTCTGAGTCATCATCTTCTGACTCGGACTCAGGCTCAGCGTCGGACGGCACATAGCCTTGGTCTGATTCCTCTGTGTCATCAGTCTCTGAGTCGCTCGCCTCCATGTTCAGGAACTCCCAGCCGCCATCGTCAATGAACTTCTGGGGATCATCAATTATTGTTTTCAGGATAGGACGCCAGTTCAGATTCAGCCTGCTCTCGTAGTACTTGAGGTCAGTTGTGTCCAGCCATTCCTTTATCGCGTCAAGCGATGCTGAAGGGATGGAATCAATACGGAGAACATCCTTCTTGAAGTCCTTGAACACGATAGCCATGTCAAAGTTCTTCGTTCCAAAGCCCACCCTCTCCAGGTTAACAATCTCTATCTCGCTCAGGCTCACCACAAGGAAGGGAGTCTCAATCAGCTCAACCAAACATGTAGAAGTTGGAATGATGAAAGCAGAAGCTTTATATGGGACACCATGGAACCCAAGCTCTCTAAGTGGGACATCAAACTCCAGGTCAAGCCCCTTGAACTGTGGTTGCGACCAGTGGTCATTAACCTTGTTCACAAAGTTCTGGAAATCCATGTTTATTCTGTTCTTCCTATCCCTCTCACGCTGCTCTTCTTCAATCTCATCAGGATCAAGTGCCGATCTTCTACTGCCCCCAAGAGTCTGTACAACATCCATAACTTCAACATAGAACTGGACATCCTTTGTCTTTTTGTTTCCAACCATGATATGGTTGTGCAGATGGAAGTGAAGGAGAGTAATCATTTCTTTCTCTGCAGGTTGGAAAAAGGCATGCTTTATATTTCCATACATGATGTCCACGCGCTCATCAGACCTTGAAGTAGAATATCTGAAACCATTGAAATGAGCCTCAAGATTTCCTGTGAGCTTCCTCCCATGACCACCAAATGCAGGTCGTATCCACACATCAGAAAGTTTCATCATCTTCATTCTGTTGTTTCCGATCTGAAGTTTCTCCTGGGTAACAAGAGTTGCCCTTTCAGCTCTCTCTGACTCCCTTGAAGCAACTTGCCTCCTCAACGTTTTGATCTGCTGAACAACTTCACTGCTATGCCGTGGATCTTTTGAGCGGAATGTAATTTCTTTCAGATAGATAGCACCTTGAGAATTCAGCTTGCTATCATTTGAGAATAGCATGCCAGGCACATTGAAGAAGATGCGGATAGTGCAGGTGCGGTTGTCCTGGTGGCTGGTCACACTCTTGACAGTAGAAACATGGAAAGGAACCATACTGCCATAAATAGGTAAGAGGACAGCTTCATTCTTCTGATCTACTTGGATCACCAAATCTCTTACAAATGGTACATCATTAACGTTCTTATATGCAACAAGCTCATTTGAAGCCCTGGCAGGACCACGTCCCTCACCAGATCCAGAACCACCCCCAGCAAGCCTTCTAGAAGTCTCTTCATTCTTTTGGCGAGCAAGTTCAGCCTGGTGCTGTCTCCGGAGCTCTTCCTTCGACATCTCCTGGTTGTCCGACCTGAGAGTTGCCTTGGTTGGCAAGACATCTATGGTCTTCGACTCCTATCTTCACCTCAGCAGCATCATCATCATCTTCGTTGAACGAATAAGCAACATCTTTGACTGCCTTGGAGCAAGGTGCTGTTAAGATCTCGTGTCCTCTTTCATTGACTAAAACTGTATCAGCTAACAACAGTGAAAACTGCTTTGTCTTCTCACTAATTGTTTCTGCCTGGACGTTATGCAAACCAAGGGATACATTAAAAATCATTCCCTGTTTTATCCTACGATCATTCTTGGCATTCAGATTTAAGCCAGATTCTCGGAATTCAAGGCCTATTCCGGTTCCAGCTGACTTTGTTAGTTTAGGAAGAAGTTCAGGGGCATCCCTCTCAATCACTGCCACTGCAGCTTGATAAACTGCACTCATCTGATTGCCTGGTTTCACTTGTTCAACAGCAGCTTCATGAGCTTTCAAAAGGGTCTCATATGCTTTACTCTGTGTAGAGGTAGCATCAATAAGATATGTCCGAGCAACATTTGAACAATAGCTACTGTATTTGGAACCAATTGCACAGATGATAACACTTGCTGAATCATAATACAAGTACTCGTCATTGCTAGACGCACCAGGCTTGAGATCAAACTTACCCCCACTTTGAAAGACTGGAGGGTAGCATATATCAACATTATCAGGCTTCAATTGGACCTTAACCTTGAGCGGATCAAGAATAGCCTTCTCTGTGTCATCCATCAATGATGAGTGTGAGACTTTCTTCTCCTCATCAATAACTTTCTCCAACTTAGGAACCACAAAATTTTTCAGAACAGATGAAGTTAAGTAAGCAGCCTTCTTCACACACGTGATCTCTGTGGTGTCCTTCACAGAAAAGAGCTCAGAGAAGCCGTTTGTTACATCTACAAGTCGTAGGCCTGATCCAGATAACTTTTCTGTCCATGTTTCAAGAAGCTTACCCTCAGGTACCTCTTTGGCAATGTGTCCAACAACTGGCTTGTCTGATTTCGATTGACTACGAGCAGCCTGCACTATGTCATCCATCAAGTCAGAACTATCACCATTCTTGGTTTTCACATGCAACACAATGTCAGCACCAACAGCCTCGTTTGCAGCCTTCTTGAGGGTCCCAATAAGATTTGCTTTCTTCTGACTGCATAAAACATGTATTTGCTTGTGCATGAAGACAATTATCAACAACAACAACAAAGCCTTTAAGTCCCAAACAAGTTGGGGTAGGCTAGAGTTGAAACCCAGCAGAAGCAATCAAGGTTCAGGCACGTGAATAGCTGTTTTCCAAGCACTCCTATCTAAGGCTAAGTCTTTGGGTATATTCCATCCTTTCAAGTCTCCTTTTATTGCCTCTACCCAAGTCAACTTCGGTCTTCCTCTGCCTCTCTTCATGTTACTATCCTGGCTTAGGATTCCACTACGCACCGGTGCCTCTGTAGGTCTCCGTTGTACATGAAGACAATTATCGTTTATGGAAATTCGTATCCAAGTAACCAAATATCCAGGGCAGATGATTTCAAATAACAAAGATCATCAGAAGGAGGTGGGGTAGCAATGGCAATAGCATCAGACGAACTCCAAATATCAGACTTATGCTCCTTCCAATGGTCATAGAATACCTTCAGTCGCTTACTGAAGTTCTCTAGATTAATTGTATAGGCGCCAGATCCCCCTTTGGCATTACCATTATCAGCCATCTTTGTCAATCAGCTAACATTAACCAAGGCAACTGCAGAAAGAATTGATCCGAAGTTAGCAAACAAGAAAATCACAAGGTTATCCTAACAGTAAGCCATGAAAGTGTGAGCATTAAAAAATACTTGAGAACAAAACAAAAATTGTACAGGCAAATACGATGGAGCAGTAGCCATGCAGAATATGAAAATTGACAGTGGTTATCAAAATAACATTTTCCTTATAGAAAGGAGAGCAACTTGCAAGTTACTTCAATTACAATTACTATGGATTAGCTATAGTCACAACAGGCAATCATTGTCCCAATAACAGCAACACTGCATACAAAGACGTTCCTTTTAACATAATACAAAAGGATATTTTCTTAGTCCATACTTGCAATCTTAAAAGCATATCAACTTCCACGAATCAGTTTGGGAAGGGGAATTGGAATCCAAATCCTTAGGATTTACTTCATCGAGACAGGCCCGCAGTGACTGCGAAACCATGAATAAATATCTATACAGCTGATAACGAATGTACCACACCACTTGGATCTATTACTTCAATAAATATTAAAAATGCTAGTTTTGTGTATCTATTAAGCCATGGTGGTGAAGAAAAACACTTAACAGGAGCATTACAATAATCTGGTATTTGAGACACTTATGATATGCCAATCATGTCATATAGAACAATAACATAGATTTTCAAAAGTTCCATTACTTTGCAATCTACTTAGGCCCTGTTTAGATCCAAGGAGATAATAGTTAGCTGCTAATAATTAACTCCTTGGATCCAAACAGGTCTAGCTAATAGCTAATTGTTAGTTGACAACTATTTCACTAGCTGATCAAAACTAGCTAATAGCAGCTAATATTAGTTGTGGTCTATTAGCTAGCTAATTACTTGACAATGGATCCAAACAGGGCCTTAACTACTTAAGTTCTATTACAGCACAGCGGGTCTCAGATTCTCAAATATAGCATTCTCAGAATTAGGAAATTAACAGAAGGCATTCAGGCTTGCAATTCAGGCTCGCATCAAGTTTGTTCTTCCTCATTTGTCTCATTCTCATCCACACACCAGGCCGGAGAAATTACAAACCAAAAGACACAGCTTGCACTAGCACTACTCATATTTGGAGACATTTGGTATTGCATACAATAAGCATGGCAAACCCTAATCAGTACGAGGAAGTGGGGAACATGAAAAATCAAGCAACGAGAAGCCGTCAACAACTGCAGAAATAGGCTAGATCGAGAATGGGAAGGGGAAAGTGGTGGACAACGAAATCAAGCAACGAGAAGTCAAGAACTGCAGAAACAGAGTAGTTCGAGAATGGGGAACGGGATGAACTCACGGGTGGTCGTCGGATCGACGTCGCGAGGGCGCAGGATCGTCCCTAGCGGCGGGCGAGCAGGGGCGGGGGGTCGTCGCCGGCGGCCGCCGAGCGTGGGCGGAGGCTCGTCGCCAGCGGCCGGCGAGCGGGGGCGAGGCTCCCTCTATGCGTCGCGCTGGTGTGCGGCAGAGGCGGCGCAAGGTGGTGGCGCGCGGGCGTCGGGTGGGGGCTAAAGGCTTAGGGTCGTAGGGCGTCGGGGACACAGGGAGACAAGGCCGCCGTACTGCTTGTTGAGCTGGGCCGTATCGGATATAGGCCAGATAGGTATCGGGCCACGTTCTAATATTCTTCGCGAAATTAAGTAAAAATTCGGATCGGTGGTCTATCCGTATCGGTCCATGTACTCAACATTTTTTATTCATGTTATTAATTATATTATGGATTTTACTACAGCATGCGTGTGTAGGATTTGGACTTCCAGCATGCACACCTCCTCACATCAGTTTTTAGTCACAAAAAAGAAAAAAACACAGCAGCTATTCTTCACCGACTCTAGTGCCCTCCCCCCTCCTCTGCCACCACCATGGCCGGAGCTCCCCCGCCTTGACATGGCCCGACCGCCCCTGCCGCCGCCAGCTCCCCTAAACCGCCCATCGCCCACCACCACCCCCACCGCATGGCTTACCTGTCTCCCCCCGGCCGGCCATTCTATAGCCCACCGGAGTTGAAAGAGATGATAGGGAGAGCTTTTCGGAACCCTAGTTCAGTGATCCAGGAGGAGGAGGAGGAGGCCTACGTGCCGCGAATCCAGCACCGCCACCGTCGGATCTGGCGGATCCGCGCCAGCCGCTGCTGCAGATCCCGGAGGCTACAAGGCGAGGGGAGGCGGGGGGCGAGCACGAGAGGAGAGAGAGAGGAGGAGGAGGAGAGGAGAGAGAGAGAGAGAGAGAGAGAGAGAGGGAGGGAGGGAGGGGAAGGTGTGCGAGCGGGTGAGGGTGCACCGTGCGAACGGGGTGTGTGGGTGGAAGCTAGGGATGAAAACGGATCGGATACGAACGGATATCACTCATATTATATTTGTTTTCATATTTCTGCTCGGATTCGGATTCGGACACGGATAGCATTCGGATACATATACGAATACGGATTGACTCGATTCTGATATCTGAATAATGAGTATCGAATACGGTATGAATCGGATTCGGAGAAGGTCTGATACAAATATCTATTCTGGATATTGAGTAAAAGCAAGATATATATATATATATATATATCATACGTGCATAAACCATTACACCACTCTATGAGTCTATAATCCATCTAGATTAAGCCGAAAGACTAAAGAGTAAAGCAACAAATAAGATAAAGATACAGATACATCATACATCAAACACATATAAGCACCAATCTTCATGCGGCATGAGTAGAAATAGCCAAGCACATTGCTTCATGGGTCTCATGGAGTCATGGTCATGGATTCAAGATCTACAATCCTTATATAGGCCATTTTTTCATTTTGAGAAAGTTTGAACAAAATGTAGTTCAAATTTCACAAGTGTGTGACATAGTTTTAGAAAAAGTCCAGATGAGATTTAAGAATTTGTGACTAGTGTTTGATAAAACTTTCTCAACTGGGAAAATGAGCTATGTAACAATTGTATATCTTGCTGAGATGATCAAACTTGGTATTCAGAGTTTTTTCATCTGAGGTCATTTAGTGTCTCATTTGAGCAAGTTTGACCAAGTCAAATTTGGTCAAATGAAAAAACAACACTTTGACTCTAGTATTATGAACTCTAAATGACTTCAAATTGAAAAGTTTTGAATACCAAGTTTGTTCAACTCATCAAGATCTACAATTCTTGTTTTGGTCAACTTTCCATTTGAGATAGTTTGGACGGTTCAAATTTGTGATTTTTAAATTTCGATGCTTACAAACTAGTTTTCGGAACCCTAGATTGTCTCAAATTGAAAAGTTTTGAATACCAAGTTTGTTCAGCTCATCAAGATCTACAATCCTTATATAGGCTATTTTTTCATTTGAGAAAGTTTGAACAAAATGTAGTTCAAATTTCAAAAGTGTGTGACAGTTTCAGAAAGTCTATATGAGATTCAAGAATTTATGACTAGTGTTTGATAAAACTTTCTCAAATGGGAAAATGAGCTATGTAACAATTATATATCTTGCTGAGATGATCAAACTTGGTATTCAGAGTTTTTTCATCTGAGGTCATTTAGTGTCTCATTTGAGCAAGTTTGACCAAGTCAAATTTGGTTAAATGAAAAAACAACACTTTGACTCTAGTATTATGAACTCTAAATGACTTCAAATTGAAAAGTTTTGAATACCAAGTTTGTTCAACTCATCAATATCTACAATTTTTGTTTTGGTCAACTTTCCATTTGAGATAGTTTGGACGGTTCAAATTTGTGATTTTTAAATTTCGACGTTTACAAACTAGTTTTCGGAACCCTAGATTATCTCAAATTGAAAAGTTTTGAATACCAAATTTGTTCATCTCATCAAGATATACAATCCTTATATAGACCATTTTTTCATTTGAGAAAGTTTGAACAAAATATAGTTCAAATTTCACAAGTGTGTGACATAGTTTCAGAAAGTCTATATGAGATTCAAGAATTTATGATTAGTGTTTGATAAAACTTTCTCAAATGGGAAAATGAGCTATGTAACAATTGTAGATCTTGCTGAGATGATCAAACTTGGTATTCAGAGTTTTTTCATCTGAGGTCATTTAGTGTCTCATTTGAGCAAGTTTGACCAAGTCAAATTTGGTCAAATGAAAAAACAACACTTTGACTCTAGTATTATGAACTCTAAATGACTTCAAATTGAAAAGTTTTGAATACCAAGTTTGTTCAACTCATCAAGATCTACAATTCTTGTTTTGGTCAACTTTCCATTTGAGATAGTTTGGATGGTTCAAATTTGTGATTTTTAAATTTTGAATAAATATCCGAATAATATCCGTTTTTAAATATCCGGATATATCCGATACTTATCCGGATTATCCGATATCCGCCGGATATCGATGATATTACATCCGTATTTGATATCCGCCTAAGATATCCGTTTTAGTATCCGTATCCGAAAAAAAAAACGGATATCCGAGTAACTATCCAGATAAGTGTTCATATTTGTTCGGTCGAACGGACGGTCGAATAAATATCCGTACCGTTTTCATCCATAGTGGAAGCCACAAATAATGCGCGTTTAGATATTAGCATTTCCGTTATGTTATATAGTTCTTCCGGTGCCATAACCCACATTTCTCTTCTTATAAAGCTAAAAGGCATATAGGTGATAGGTACGGTGGACAATAAGTCAAGAACAACACTTATCGAGCAATTTTTTAAAAAGAAAAAAAACTAGTCAAATGATTTCCTAAAAAAATATTCAATATGTGTGTAATGGCATTAACATATGTTACAAAGTTTCTTAGATAACAGCAAGATATAATTGTGTTATCCTCTTGCAAAATTGAAAGCGATGCCGCACGTTGGTGCATGGTATATGGAACACCAAGACTCGTTAAATTGTTCTAAGAATACTACCACAAGAGGCATATAGCTGAATCTGGCATATGCTCTTGAGGAATATTGCGCACATCTTTGCACCAGATAGAGATCTTCCATCCTTAGAAAATGCATACAACTCCACAATCCCACCGGATAGGCCATGTTCATGAACCCTCAGGGCAATCATCATCTAGATGACCAAGGGAAAGAACAAATTTTCTATTTGACATCACCCGCAAGCGCAAGGTCCATGGAGCTTGTGCACATGGCCCTAAGCTTCCGCTTTCGTCTAGGGTTCCTCTAACTAAACCTATGAAGCAACAAGTAATCATATGTGGCAGGGTCCATATCAATTCTTATCGAACCTTTACCATACATTCCTGCTGATAGCATTGCCAATGTCAAGTCATATTGGTTTGCATTGATGTTCAGAGATGTGTGTTGTATCATTTTTTTTTTTGCGAAATGTGTAGTGCAGCAACAAAGTAGCAAGCCCTCGCCAACAACAATGCTAGGCTTTGCTGGGTCAAGAGCTCCTCCACTGGATTCCTTCTCCACCAACAGTACGAAGGGCACCTAGATCAAGCCATACCAAAGCAGGAAGTTGAGCTTCAATTCCCCCTCCATCTGTTGACTATTAGAATTTGGTTGATTTAGCACAATTAGAGTTATCATTTTGTTAGAACTAATAAAACTGCTAGATCCAGAGAGAGACCATGGTTGATTTCCATTGTTTTCAAGATTTCTTCCTTTACTGCATTTGTCTTAGCAAAACTATTATACAATGAAATGACAATTATTGTCCTATATTTTTTTATTATTCACACAAGCATCTGTCAACACAATGCAAGAGATTTCCAATTTATGGCCCAGCAAAAATGAACAGAAAAAAATCTCCAGTTTATGTTCATAGCATAAGGTCTTTTTCAAGATATATGAAATTAATGATTTGCCAAAAAATGTATTAAAACTCAAGTTAAAACACTTGTCATTGGTCCTTTTTGCTCTTCTTTTTGTATTCTATGTTACGTTATTTCATTTATATTTTAGTAGGCGCTCGTAGCAACGCACGAGCTAATAACTAGTACATAGTAAAAGTAATCTATTTTGAAAAACAAAAACGTATTATAGTAAACATGTGACTAAAAAAACCATCCATCTCATCTACACCTAATTATGGACCATCCATCCCAACCAATTCACAAGAAAAACCAAGCACAAACCAAACTGACCAGTGTATAGGATAGACAACCCATTACTTGGGATCTGTTTGCATAGAAAAAAAATAGCGGGCTATAGCGCCGCTATAGCGGCCGGAGAGACTCAACGCTAAGCTATTTCTATTTGTGCCGCTATGCCAACTTTAACCGCTATTATGTGCTATAGCCCCGCTAATTGCATAGCTTTAGCGTTCAAATAGCGGCGCTATTTCATATTTTGCCATCACTAATAGATTTTGACAATTTAATTTGTTATTTCCTACTTATTATTTGCTACTAATTTGGTATTTTAGATAATTAAACACTGGGCTTTCATGAACCATGTTGTAATGTCATATTAGTAATGTTATCTAGACTAGAAACATATTTGTGTTCGTCGAATTTCATGTTTACTATGTTTTTTTCATCAATTATTGGTGTTTTCATGTTTTCTTTATAAAATCGCTATCTGTCATAGCGTCGCTATAGCCTCATAGCCGTTGAAAAAAAGTTGTCGCTATTTTCAATAGCCCGCTATTTAAAACTATATCTGTTTGGGACTGCTTCATTCCATGTTTTTCAGCCAAACAGGTGTAACTCCACAGACTCCTTTAAAAATAAGAAGTTGTAAGAGCATCTAAAGACTCCTTTAAAAATAAGAAGTTGTAAGAGCATCTAAAGAGATGCTCAAGAAGCTCTAGGTCTTTGTGAAGCTACTCAGTGACATTTGTTGAACAAAATTTATAGAACAGTCCCCTGAAAAGACCCAATGACCCAAGCCAATACGGTCAGACCATAATTCACGACCCATAACCTAACCCAACCTGAAAAGAGCCGGCCCAACATAAGAAAACAAAAACCAAGCGCCCATTTTGTTCATGACCAAACTTGCCATGCCTTAAGTTTCGGCAACCTGTGGTGAGCAAAATCAAAGCCACATTTGTGGCGAAGTTTGATAAGAAAACGAGTCTACGACGTATGGGACAGGATGCTAAAAAAGTGTGGCTTGTCATAGTTGCGGCAGTGAATCAAACACATCTAAAAACTATGGCACGACAGACCTGCGACGCGGCAAGTTATGGTCATATAAACATAACAGGTCCCAAGAAATAGACTGACCCGACCCAACCCAACCCAACATTGCCCATCAGATGGGCAGGGCAAAAAAAAAAAAAAAGAGGCCCCACACAGCCCTGATTAGGTCTAATCTTACCCAGCTCGCCAATGATGTAATAACAGCAATAGAGGTACAGAAAAATGCCCAAAAGAAAAAAAAATCCTGTGGCATCACCGGAATACCAGAGCCATAGACAAACAGCCTATGCCATAAACTGTTGCTATGCAGCAAGCCAGCAAAGATGAAACCATGTTTGAATGACCTTGAGTCCTTGACCGAAGAAGCAAGCATGATAAAATTATCTAAGCAAGCATATGGTCCACAGATAATGCTCAAGCTGCATAGCATACCATACATCTGGCTTTAAAAAAAACGGGTTGACAAAAATAACACTAATTAGTCAGCTCCATAATGGCAGTGACGATGTCCCCATTAGAAGCCTTGAGAGCCTTGACAGCCTTGGGCCTCGAAACAGATGCCTGGGTCATGACCAGCTCAATGTCCTTGGCCTCAACACCAGTTTCGTCAACCTCCTCCTCATTGTCCTCCTGACCCAGACCAGATGTCTCAGGCTTCGAGATCATTTGGCTCAAGTCAGGAGCCTTGAACTGTTCTGCAGCCTGGGTCTGCAGCTGAGAGCTGAGGTCCTCGATCTTGGCCTCGCCAAATATGACGTAGGTGTCTGAATTTGGGCTCTTGAACACATCTGGCTTGGAGATGACAAAAAGCATCTGGAAAAATAGCTTGTTAGCCAAACAATATATAATATATGTCAGTTTGCGTGATCTGACTATGAGTGAATGATGAATTACATTCTTGCTTTTCTTCACAGTGATGCGGCTGACACCAGTTATGGGCTTCATGCCAAGCTTCAGCATGGCCTTGCGGCTCTTCTTCTCACTCCTGCTTTGCTTGGACTTGCCACTGGCATCCCCTTCTTGTCCTGAAGATGAAAATGTGATCAATACTTGTCAGAGCACAGGTATAGTAATTGTTCCACACACCAGAGAACCAAACAGTCAGCAAATTCCCTGTGAAGGGATACAGGGGAAACAAGAAAACTCATGGCATAACATTTGTTTGCCCAGTCTTCTCGGTCATCAACAAATGAGACTGCCTAATTAAGCAATGCAGTTTACTTGTCTATAAACAGTATGTGACTATGCATAATTGGCATGTGTTTTTTTCTAAAGAATGTGGTTGACATGTACCTGATATGTACATAAAACTATACACTTATGCCGTATAAGCCATATATGTAATATGTAAAACAATAGCAGCAAAATCATCAATTACCTACAAGTATTCAAGGCAAGCTAAAAAAAACTATGCATGCCCCTTGCTCTAACATGTACAGCATTTAACAATTAAACATCCACACTCATGGACCTACAGTAGCACCACTGATGTGGCACCGAACTGATTCTAGTAGCGCTTAATACAAAAACCATTAGTGATAAATCATTTCACGAGGGCTGAAGAGTGACACTTCAAACATAACCAAGCCAATGACAACAAATTATAAGCATTACGAGTTTCAACATATTATACGACGTTTCTTTTGTCACTACTTTCACAGATTTACATTCTTATCATCAACCTACAACAACATAGCCTTTCAGTCCCAAGCAAGTTGGGGTAGGCTAGAATTGAAACCCATCGAGAGCCCCAAGCCATGGTTTAGGCACTTCAATAGCTGCTTTCCAAGTACTCATATCCAAACATAAATCTCTAGGTATATCCCAAGTTTTCAAATCTATTTTTATTGCCTCCCCCCATGTCAATTTCGGTCTTCCTCTACCTCTAATATTATTAGCTTGGCTTCGGACTCCACAATACAATGGTGCCTCTGGAGGTCTCCTTTGGACATGGCCAAACCACCACAACCGATGTTGGACAAGCTTTTCTTCAATTGGTGCTACTTCTAGGCGATCACATATATCATCGTTCCGAACTCGGTCCATTCTTCTGTGACCGCAAATCCATCGCAACATACGCATTTCTGCAACACTCAGTTGTTGAACATGTCGAATCTTTGTAGGCCAACATTCTACTCTATACAACATAGCCGGTCTAATCGCCGTTCTATAGAACTTGCCTTTTAGCTTTTGTGGTACCCTCTTGTCACAGACAATGCCAGAAGCTTGTCGCCACTTGATCCACCCTGCTTTGATTCTATGGCTAACGTCCGCATCAATATCTCAATCCCTCTGTAACATCGATCCCAGATACCTAAAGGTATCCTTCTTAGGCACTACTTGACCTTCCAAACTCACATCTCCCTCCTCCGGTACAACTCCGTCAAAGTCACATCTCATGTATTCGGTTTTAGTTCTGCTCAATCTAAAACCTTTAGACTCAAGGGTCTGCCGCCATAACTCATAGTTTTCTATTTACTCCCGCCTGATTTTCATCCACTAACACTACATCATCAGCGAACAACATACACCAAGGGATATCTCCTTGTATGTTCCTAGTAACCTCATCCATTACCAAGACAAAGAGATACGGGCTTAAAGCTTGACCCTTGATGAAGTCCAATTTTAATCGGGAAATAACTGTGTTACCGTCGTTTGTTCGAACACTAGTCACAACATTGTTGTACATGTCCTTGATGAGGGTCACTACTTTGATGGGACTTAATATTTGTTTAAAGACCACCACATAACATTTCTTGGTATCTTGTCATAAGCCTTCTCCAAGTCAATGAAAACCAAGTGGAGTTCCTTCTTCTGCTCTCTAAATCGCTCCATAACCTATCTTATTAAGAAGATTGCTTCTGTGGTTGACCTTCCGGGCATGAAACCAAATTGGTTTGTTGATATCTGCATCGTTCCTCGCAGGCGCTGCTCGATGACTCTCTCCCATAACTTCATAGAGTGGCTCATCAACTTAATTTTCCAATAATTAGTACAACTTTGGATATCTCCTTTGTTCCTGTAGATTGGTACCAATATGCTTCTTCTTCACTCCTCAGACATCTTGTTCAATCGAAAGATATTATTGAACATCTTGGTTAGCCATACTATAGCTATATCCCCGAGACATCTCCACACCTTAATTGTGATACCATCAGAGCCCATCGCTTTGCCCCCTTTTATCCTTTTTAAGGCTTCTCTGACCTCCGATTCTTGAATCCTCCGCACAAAGCGCCTGTTAGTGTCATCAAACGAGTCGTCCAGCTGAACAGTGGTGTTCTCGTTCTCATCATTGAACAATTTATCAAAATACTCTTGCCATCTATGTCTGATCTCATCCTCCTTCACCAAGAGCTGCTCCCTCTCATCCTTTATGCACTTGACTTGGTTGAAGTCCCTTGTCTTCCTATCACGAGCCCTAGCCATCGTATAAATGTTCTTCTCTCCTTCCTTTATACTCAAACGTTAGTAAAGGTCCTCATAGGCCCGCCCCTTTGCCTCACTCACCGCTCGTTTTGCAGTCTTCTTTGTCACCTTGTACTTCTCTATGCTGTTTGCACACCTGTCATGATACAAGCGCTTATAGCACTCATTTTCCTTAATAGCCTTTTGCACATCTTCATTCCACCACCAAGTGTCTTTCGAGTCGCATCCACTCCCTTTGGTCACTCCAAACACCTCTGAAGCAACCTTCCGAACGCATGTCGTCATCTTCTCCCTCATGTTGTTTGCATCGCCTTCATCATTTCAAGGGCCCTCTTCAATGACCTCTTCCTTAAAGACCTTTGATGCCTCCCCTTCTAATTTCCACCACTTCGTTCTAGCAACTCTAGCTTGTTTGTTCCCACGAACTTGCACCAGAAAGCGAAAATCAGCCACCACTAGCTTGTGTTGAGCGACCACACATTCTCCAGGTATCACCTTACAGTCCACGCATGTTCGTTTATCCCTCCTTCTTGTAAGGACAAAGACGATTTGACTAGAGTACTGGCCGCTACGAAAGGTCACTAAATGAGACTGTCTCTAACGGAAGAAAGTGCTAGCTATCATCAGATCAAAAGCTATGGCGAAGTCTAAGACTTCCTCTCCCTCCTGGTTCCTACTACCATATCCGAAACCCCGATGAACCGTCTCGAAACCTGCACTTGATGTACCTACATGGCCATTAAGATCACCTCATATAAAGAGCTTCTCGCTACTAGGGACAGCTCTAACCAAGCGATCTAAGTCTTCCCAGAAAAGCCGCTTAGCACTCTCATCATGGCCTACTTGGAGGGCATACACACTAATTATGTTTAAGACCATATCACTAATGACAAGTTTAACTTAGATGATCCTATGCCCTTGCCTTCTCACCTCCACCACACCATCCTTGAGGCTCTTATCAATCAAAACTCCAACTCCATTTTTATTTGAAGTTGTCCCTGTGTACCAGAGCTTGAAGCCGGTATTGTCCACCTCCTTCGCCTTCTGTCCCTTCCATTTAGTCTCTTGGACGCATAAGATATTTACACGCCTCCTAACCGCTGTGTCCACTAACTCTCTTAACTTACCTGTAAGAGACTCTACATTCCAGCTACCTAAACAGATCCTAGTTGGCTCGACTAGCTTCCTTACCCTTCGCACCCGCCGAGATAGGTGTGAAGACCCTTGCTCATTTTGCAACACACCCGGACACCGATGTGGCGCGCCACTAAGGATGCGACGACCCGATCCTTGCTCACTTGACACCGTGTCCAGATCGCGACACGGCCCTTGCTCATTTAATACCATACCCGGGTTCCGACATGCCTAAATAGCGCTAAACAGACAGTACCATATCATAATAACTCACCATCCAATTCATCATCATCCTTGGCGTCATCGTCATCGTCATCGTCATCGTCATCATCGTCCTCATCCTCCACCACAACCTCCTCTGCCTGTCCATGGCATTCAACAGATAAGCATGCCGGTGTCAAGATCAGAATAGTTGGTGGACAGCATTATATCACAAAAACATATAGCAAAACAGCAAGTGAGATTAAAAGGATCACATAAAAATTTTCCACCAGCCATAATAACAATAATAATACTAAAAGATGAAACTTTACATGATCAACCAGACCCATGTACAGCCACTTCAGGTTAACAAATCCGCATCTAGCTGAAAAAACATCAAGTTTCTATTGGACCACAGTATCCTAGCCTATGCATCACTGATTCTACTTCCGATTCAGAACGACGAACATTGAGATTTTCTTTGTGTGAAATCTTTTTTGAAGCAACCTCTGAAAGGGGAAGGGAGTTCCTAAAGTTCACTATAGGTAGAAAAGAATGACCTGGTTTATGAGAAAAATTGAGCCCAACAAAAAAAACATCAGAATTGCATGGTTAATTAATCAAAAACTTGCAAAAACCCACTATGATAGTGTCTCTGAAACAACCAACCCAACACAACGGAGCCCAACCCAAGTCATCATTGCGGAGGCGTAGCTATGGCCAAACAGCTCCAACTTCCTACACCGGACCTCACTTCACCCCCAAAAAGGCACTACACACACCTACATGAAAACTAATACCACAGACAAGAAGCCGGCTAAGAGTCAGCGTGTCCGAGCTAAGCCCGCGCCGACGGTGGTTCCCTGCCCCCGCGTGGATCCGCGCTATTCCAACCTCCCAACCAAAGGGGCCACCCGATCCAACTGTGGAGGCACCGGATCTGGCCGTCGCCGGCACCCTGAACCTGGGAAACGACGGTCGCAGTCCGTCTCCGTGGTGACCACCGTGGATGATGGATCTCGGGGCAAACCCGAGTGAAGAAAAGCACCCGCCGCCGCCGTCCCTAAGGCCGCGCGGGAGACTTCCGGCGGCGGCGAGGCTAAGGAGGAAGGGGTGTAGTAGCGGCGAGCCTTGTTCAACCCGATCTACCGCTAGGGGCGACGCTGGTGTCGGTTCGAATTGTGTTCGTGAAAGCTATTTCTAGTACAAGTGCTTCTCTCTGAGAAATCTCACCTCGGTCTTCTGCTCCTCGAGCTTCTGCTGCTCGATCTGGGTGGCGAGCTCCTCCGCAGCCTGCGCCGTCATCTTGGTGTATCGGTGGTGTGGGAGGGGCAGAGGGACGGCGGCGGCGTGGCAAAAACGTAGCGAGCAAACAAGCACGAAGGGGGTGGGCCGTTTTCTGCTGTGTTTATTTAAATAGTATATCGCGAAATCAGTTGGCCCCCAGGGCTTACCAGGAGTGGGGACAGTGACTCAGTGAGAGCATATGGAAAGCTCATTGGAAATTTTATTACTATATTTCCTTCGTTCAAAATTATAAGTCGCTTTTACTTTTCTATGCGAAAAACTAACGTCAGTTCAGATGAATAATTATAAACTTGATTATACATATAATTATTGTATATAGTCAAGATTGTAGATTATAATAATCAGAGTTTTGGCTCTCTTGATTGTTATGGGTCATTAATTTTATTGGAATCATACAATAATTTCACATGAAAAAAACAAAATTAGAAAAACATGCATATCAAAAGAGATCTTAGCATTTTTCTCGGTGGAATATGCTTCTCTAGCAGTGTAGATCAAGGTAATAGCATTATCGTTGAGAAGAAACTAAGCATCACGAGAGGCATATCTGTCGGTGTAGTAGGGGGTACAAACGGCCGAGAGGGGGACATGTCCCAAGTCTTTGATGGAAAGGCCGAATAGGTGCTGAGAACTTGGTTGCTGCTCAGCTGTGTGTTATGTGATGCGTGTCAAGATGGCAACGGGTACGTACCCGATGGGTACTGGCCACCCGTACCCGCACCCGCCAGATCAAAATCTTACCCGTCGGGTTACCCGTACCCGTAGGCGGGTAGAAAATTCATTCCATACCCGCACCCGACGGGTAATTCTTACCCGACAATATACCCGAGTTCACACACCAAAATATAATAGCTTTCAGCAAAACAAATCAACAATAGAGCAGCAAAACAGAAATATGGGCTGGTGGAGTGGAGTGAGGATGAGGATTAGGGTTCGAGAGAGTTCTAGAATATATATACTCGTATGCTTATATGGGTCAAATATGGGCTATATGCTTATATGGGCTCAAATTGCAGAGGTTGGATATTATTTATGCGGGTTTTTTTTACCCGCGGGTATGCGGGTATGGGTAGTATACACCCACACCCGTACCCGCATACCCGATGGGTACAAGAATTCGTCTAATAACGTATCCGCGGGTGCAAAATGTCTTCCATACCCGCCTCCTTATCGGGTAAAACCCGTCGGGTACTCGGGTTTCGGGTACCCGTTGCCATCTTGAGGTGCGTGGTGTGTTGAATCGATCCGTCCTTAGTGGGTGCCCTGCCTTCCCTTTTATAGATCAAGGAGAGCAGGGATTACAAAATGGAAGAAAGAAGAAGAACCAGAGGCTAAGAAGGCCCTTCAAAGATGCTAGGTCTCCTTTTTCCTCTGAGCGAGTCCCGCTGACACGGCAGACGGTGTCAGGGATAGCACATTCGCTGATCCTGATAGGGTCGTACTCTGGCTTCGTTCAGCAAGTGGTCACGTCCCGTCCCGCCCCGACGGGCGGCGCGACGCACCAGGGTGCCAAGCCGCGACCCTATGGGGAGCAGACGGCGTAGAGGCCCCATGTTCGTTACTGTAGATGACATGAGTTTCCTTCTAGACCGTAGTGGTTGTCGTATGTTTTCGTCAGGATTCATGTCCGAGGACAAATGTTGACGCCCATAACACTGTAGGATAAATATCGGCGCCCGCAACATTATTTGGGCTCTGACATGCCTAGAAGGGCCTAAAGGGCCCGTCTGGTCATATCCTAATGGTACTTTCCTACAGGCGTACAGGAGATGGTCATCGGTATTGCGTTTGACTTGAGTGTCCCACCTTATCTGCGCGCGTAGTTATGAGGGAGCAGCGCGCAGACGTCGGGCGAGGCAGGGTCTGCCCCCAGACGTTGGGCGAGGCGGAGTCTGCCCTCAGACGTCGGGCGAGGAGTCTGCCCCTGGACGTCGAGCGAGGCGAAGGCTGCCCCTGGACGTCTGGCGAGGCGGAGCCCAGCCCCTGGATGTCAGGAGAGGCAGAGCTAGCCCTCGGACATCGGGCGAGGCGGAGCCAGTCCTCGGACGTCGGGCGAGGCGGAGTCTGCCCCCAGACGTCGGGCGAGGCGGATCCAGCCCTCAGGGGTCGGGCGAGGTGGAGCCAACCTTTAGTCGTTAGGCAAGAAGTGTAGTTGCCTTCTTGTCTGTTCGGAAGCATCAATGTTTGATGGTTGTTAGCTCCTCCTCTTTGGGTACCCCAGTATTCGGTCCCCGATAGTAGCCCCTGAGCCCCCGGGGATTCGGATAGAATCACCCGGGGGTATTTCGATTCACCAGAGGGTGCGCGCGAGCGCACCCATTGGGTGTAGCCCTCGAGCTCCCAGGTGATTCGGATAGAATCGCTCAGGGGGTATTTTGATTTACCAGAGGGTGGGCGCGAGCGCACCCGTTGGGTGTAGCCCTCGAGCCCCTGGGTGATTCGGATAGAATCGCTCGGGGGGTAATGAGGACCCTTCGCGGGTATGGCTGTGAGATTTGGTTCTCCCCCGGAGGGGGTAGTTAGTCGAATGAGTCTGATGGATATTTATCTATAATCTGTGGACAAGTGTCGGCACTTTTGTATTTTGAAAATAGATTTGCAATTTCGTTTCGTTAAACAAATTTGTAATTTCATTTTGTTTGATTGAACTTGCTTTCTTCCCTTTTTGTATTCGAAAAAGGGGCTCGTGCAATCCGACCCTTTCATTCTTTAAGACCATAGGGCCCGAGGTGTGTAAGAGGGAAACTTCGATTATGCTGGTGAGCATAGTTACCATAGTCGTCGGGGCGTGGGTTTTTTGTAGTCTGACTAGGCAAGCTCAGTTATTCATTCCCACAAATCTTGCCACTAACCTTAACGTGAGGAAAAGGTCCGACGCAGTGACTATTTCGAAAGAAAAAAGGGTTATTTATACCTTTATCAGCCCCCGAGTGAGATCCGACCCTTGCAGTTGCTGGGGTCGAATGTCACTAGAGACTGAAGAGAGGATAGCGAAACTACTCTTGTATTCGCACGTACCCCTTCCTTAGGATTTTAGCTATCGTTCTGCAACTGTGCATTCGGTCTCCTTGCAAGTCTAATCTTCCCTGAGCCTCCGCACGTGGCGGGGATTCGGTCAAGGGTCGGCTCGTTTTTGTGACTGTCGCCCCGTCCGTAGTTTTCGCAATCGGAGGGGTTGAGGCGACGTCACTTGCCTCGATGGCTCGAGTGACGTGCTTGATGAGCTCGCTAACAGGGATGTTCGAACGAAATCTGGTCCCGTCGCTCGTGACAGGGTCGGCAAAGCCCTCAGGTGGCATTCCATTGCTCCTTAACCCGCCTTCCAACAGATTCCCCCTCAATGGGGATTCTATGGGCTCGACTAGAGGCTAGATCGAACGAGAAGGTTGAGATGACCCTATCCGCCTCTATGTGGGTTGGGAGAAGGCCGCTGAGGCTCATCTGTGTTTTCTACCCTGGCTCTTGTTCGACATGAGGCGGCCTCGGGCCCTTCGTGGGCCAGCCTTTGAACCTCAGTCTCTCGATCTAGGATCGGGAGTCTAAAGCCCCCGAGCCCCTTGGGGTCTGATAGGGGTCGGCCGTGTTTCACGCGTCACCTCATCCTCGGTTTTCGCAATCGGAGGGGCTAAGCTAACGGTACTTGCCTCGATGGCTCGAGTGTTGCGCTCAATGAGCTCGTTAACGGGCACGTTCGAGTGGAATCCGGGTCCGTCATCCGCTGACGGGGTCGACAGAGCCCTCATGTGGCATTCCACTACTTCTTAACCTGCTCCCGGCAGATGCCCAAGCTATTCGATAGGCTCGGGTGGCCTGTTGGCCTCTCCTCGACGGAGATTCTGTGGATTTGGCTCGAGGTTAGAATCGAACGAGAAAGGTCGAGACGTCCCTATCCGCTTCTGAGCAGGGTCGGGCAAGGCCGCTGGGTCTCATCTTAGTTTTTCTCCCCTGGCTCTGTTTGGCATGAGGCGGCCTCAAGCCCTTCACGGGCCGGCCTTCGAACCTTGGTCAGTTGCCGCTCATATCGAATGAGACGACTATCGCTTCGTGACGTGACGCGGAGCGTTGAGATGCGGCAATTGCATATGCAACGCTTAGATGTATGTGATGATTGTACGATATAATGGAAACAAAAGAGAGGGTCGGTGATGTTACCTTGGTGGCATGAGTGACGGGGAGCTCTTACCGGACATGTTCGTGTGGGGTTTGGGTCCGATGTTTGCGACGGGGCCGGCGTAACCTGCACGAGCATCGCAATTTTTCGTTTTTGTCTCTCGGCAGCGATCCGAGCCGTTCGATCGACTTGGGCGACCTGACAGCTTCTCCTTGAAGGAGATTCTGCAGGTAGACCCCTCTGAACCCTTCTCGAGAAGGCAGATGCTAAAGCTTGGGGTGCGGGAACCAAGAATTCGATCACGCTGGTGAACAAAAACGTCATAGCCGCTGGGGCGTAGGGTCTAGCGGTTCGACCAGTTTTACTCAAAGTTTACACCCACACACCGTGTCTTCGGTTTTTAAACGTAAGGAGGGGTTGGGCGAAGAGAATGTCTAAATGAGTAGACACTCTCAGCAGCCCCGAGCGATGTCCACGCCCCTACCGCTGCTGGGGTCAGAGGCTTAGTAGTGAAATTGATACGTAAAGTAAGTAAATAAGAGTGCTTATCTTTTGGCGACCGTTTCGCTCGGCATTCGCTTGGGCCGTCCGATCGACTTAGGAGTCCCATTGGTCTCCCCTTGATGAAGGTTCCGTCGTTAGGCCCTTCCAGGTCCTACCTGGGAAGGCGGAGAGCCGCATGCATGCGGCTGTGCCTTGTTTCTCGTGCCCGGCGTACGGTAGTGGTGGGCTATGCCTAGGCCATGTCCCATTTGACCAGGCGCCGTCTCGTCGAGCAGGGCGCGTCCTGTCGGTCAAGACGCGTCTCATCGAATTCCCATCTGCATTGAATAGGGGAAGGGAGAGGGTTTTTCGCCCAACCCTTCGCCTTTCTCCAACTGTTGCG